CACTTGAAGCTTTCTCCTCAACGTCTTTGACATGTATAAAAGGCTTAAATAATGACACAATCAAAACCTGCTCGCACCACATCAGCTTCGAGAGATTTCCTTCACTATGGAAGTGCACTTGGAAAAGATTCAGTTTTTGTCTCGTTAAGAGTGCAATACAAACTAAGTTATCTTAAACAAGCTTTGAAAATTGTAAGTTTGAAGTAAACCGGTAAAACATGCATTAGTTTGATAGTATACCTAATATTTTGCTTTCTTTTGCGTCTATTTGACTAGTAGTACATCTTAACTGGAAAGAGTGAGACGACAATTGAAACGCCTTGAAAGAAAACCAGTTGCCATCAGATTCCCATTTCTCTCTGATTGGTCCTTTTAGAATACTTAATAGAATTAGACTCGTGCAGAATTCTTGAACCTTTGACAGCATGAGAGATAAATTTGCAAATAAACTTCGTCTTCCGTGTTATAACACACCCGCCATCTTGATGTCTTTTTTTTCAATACCATCATGCAATTCGCCCCCCAAAAAAACATGGCGGCATGTTTGCACCAAGCAATTAACCCGACAAATTCCTCGTATTCAATCATTCTGATATGATTCAAACGACAAACGACCGGCTGCCATGTTGATTGAATCAACAATAGATATCAATGAGAAATCCTTTGTAAAAGTTCATCCAAGATGGCCGCTGTGACGTTTATCACAATCAAAGAATATGTTAAAAAACTCTCTGTTTTCTATTTTTGCTTTCTTTCTTAAGCGAGTGAGTATCAGGTGCATGATCAAGAATCATGATTGACTAACTCAAAGAAAATTCCACAAAGATCCCGCAACGAATCTTTAAGAGAATTCAAGCCATTACTTATTAATTTGTTTACCAAATTGTACTCTAATAAAATGAGCTTTCACTTTAAMAATTTTCTTGTCGGCACTTCCTAATCTTCCAGAAATAAATGCAGTTTACCGCGTTTCCGTTTTAAGCGCAAAATTGGATTAGATAACGTTATAAAAAATCCACGCAAAGTTGTGTTCCATTTAAAATTGTATTAAATAATAAACGAAGTCAAAGCTTTCGACTTTTTCGCTATGTTTAGATGTCTGTTACTTTGATTGAATATAGAAAACGGCTGTACATGGTCAGTACTATACATTCAGCAATCAGTTCCTAAAAAATRTGATCGGTGAATCGGTGACGACTCTCCGACAGGAATTCCGCCACATTGAGGGACCAAAAAACCTCACAGTTAAGGCTTTTTGGTGTTTGTCCATTGACACCCACACAAAAAGGTTTGATTTAGTACTTTTCATAATTTCTAAAAGMTTACAAGTTTTTAGTATATATGGACAAATAGATAGATTTTCGGTTCTGGTCCATCAAATAGCTCCCGGTCATGGTAAGGTGTGGCATTACTGGGACTAGTCATAGACAGAAGTACATAACCATGTATGTACTTCTGCCATAGAGTATTCTAGCGAAAGAAACTCAATGGATTGGCATGGCGTAGATCTTATGTAAAAAATAGGAGATTAGGAGATTTAGCAACTTCGAATACACTATTTTTAGTATACAACACTTTCTGAATTATATGTATACGCYGCAAGGAAATGAACGTGCCTATAAATACACAAGAGCCGGTAATTCCCCGGGGCCAAGGAACCTATTATGATGGTTGATCATTCCCGCCTCCCGTGAGGGMCTGACGCAAGGCGCCCTGTCCCTGCTTACAGTAAACAAATCCATCTGAAAGATTTGGAAAAGGAATATTTATTGCGACATTGATWCCTTAGAGCTTTAATTTAGCTTTAGTCAAAGACATCTTTCTGTATATCAGTTGACTGTTGAAGTTATGATCAAATTTTCGAATGTTTATTTTCTTCGATAAAATTTTTATATCATTCAAACTGTATTTTTACTATAATTCGCCTGATTAYAGTTTATATTTGCAATAAAACCCAAAGACTGTTAAGTGTTTTACCATTCTATCAATTTTATACGGAATAATTCATCCTCTTCAATTGTAATTATTTSATAATTACTATTAACCCATTTGTAAACTTAATTTATATCATAAATAACGAAAATGTGGAACGTTTTATCCCGGCAAATCTTTGGCAACAGCTGGTACATGTATCTGCTAACCTGCCTAGCGGCTGCCTGGTCTGTAAACCACTTACGTTAAGGATTTCAAGAGATTGTTTTCGTGGTGTTCATCCGAATACTTGTGATGTGCGTTTGATATACCTTTTTCCTGTGATGATTTGGAAAACAATGACGACAGCTCGGCGAAAGCCGTCACAGTTCATCGAGTACATCGGTATTCGGCACTCGTCACCCATCCCCACCCCCTATCAAAAAATATATCCACTGAAGAATGACATTCAAACCCTGTATCGTTTGGTAATTCCTGAACTGAGCTMTGATTGRCTCGCAGCTCMCTAAGGATTTTRGTGACGTCAMAYATTAGCATAGAACTTCGCCGAATAGACTACCCCGATTAGATATTAAATATCTTAAGTGTCCTCATAGTACGATGGTCTAAGAGGGTAGCTAAAGGTATGCTCTAGTGGGCGGCTACCCCCTCACTCCCTGGCCTTTTGGTTAAGACTAAGTTTTATGTTCACTCGGGATAGCGTGGAAGRGCCGAAATCTCTAACCGTAACGTAAGCCGATTCGCCGCCTCAGCTTCATAGAATGTCTCGGGGGAATCGTCCCAACTTTTTAGTTTTTTTATTTTCATTATTTCTTATATATTCCGGGGGGTACATCTTTTCCTGAAGTGAAAGTTCTGAGTTCGAGTCCTGCTGCTGGAATTTCTCTTTTTTTCTTGTTTATTGTTTCTTTTTCTGTTGTTTCCTGTTTTCTTTTCTTCTTTCTTTTTTTCTTTTTCTTTTCTTCTTTTTTCTTTACTGTTGTTTTTTCCCTCTATAGATTTTCTCTTTCCAAATTTTAACATATCAAGGACTTACAAGGAACGCCTGCTACAAGTGGATGGTTCGGTTCGGTCACTCAATACGTTGACATTATGACGAGAGGCCCCATAAGTCCTTTCGTCACCAAAAAGAGTTCTAAGCGTAAAAAATTTCAATTTTAATTTCATTACATCTGAAAAAAGCCATAAGTTATTATTAAATACATGCGAACACACTGATTCAAAATTTCTTAGCAATAGCGACACTAGCGTGGTCTTTTTTTAGATAAAATCATAATGGGAAAATAAAGATTGTTTTAAAAAGGGAGAGGAATTTACTAATAAAATATTTGACCCTACCACGTGACTTACRCACATCCCGTGACTGCCACGTAGTTTATGCAGGAGTTTCTATTCAAGCCTGCAATGTTTCTTTCCCAAGCTCTTTACAAAGCTTTCCATAACAGTTTCAATCGAAAGCTAACCACCAACTCTTTTAAGTTGATTAAAATGAGAAAAATCTCAAATTATATACCTATCTAACTCTTGTTCGAGCTCGCTTTAGCTCAGTGACAATCTCAAATGTGCATTAAATGATCAAAAAGGAGATTTGAAACGACAATTTCATTAGTTTTCCTTGGAAAATGTAATGATTACATATTTTGGTGAGAGGTTTGTGAGCATCAACTCACAGTCTCAAATCTGGAACACGAAGCTCAGAAGTAAGATCCTTACTATATGACAGAATATACATTTCCACTAACGACGCCATGTTTCTTTCGGCGAAGTGCATCATGGTATCGATAAAAAATCAAGATGGCGGATTCATTGATAAAAATTCCGAAGGATAAACTATCACTTCAGCTCAATCCCAAAGATGGTTTAGAAAAGTATCAAACAGGATGGCTGCACATTAAGTATACTTTTGCTCAATGAACTGCGTGTGGGAAAAAAAAATGCTTATTGTTCAAGCAAAATAATATGGCTGCCGTTTGTGCTTTGTCGATCCCATGATGCATCCYATCGCAATTGGCATGACGTCATTAGGAAAGAGGACCATTGTTACAAAGAACGAAAATCAATATATTGACAAGTAATGCGGGCCTACTGAAAGGTCACATGTGATGATTCAAAACCTCTAAACAGCTGTCACCGAGCGAATCAAAACTCGAAAGTATTTGAGTACCAGTTCTTCTCTATTTGTCTTCTTCTCCCTCTTTAGCCTTAATGACTTTCCTAAACGCTTTGACCAGCCGGTCCACGGCTGGCTGCTTATCCATAGACCTACGAAACTCCTTGGTGAGTTTATGCATATCTTTTGCTATTCGGTGAATGTCCTTGGCAACCTGTTGCCATGTATTCTTACTTCTATCGTCATCATCATCATCATAATCATCGTCGTCATCATCATCATTTTTGGATGACTTCGACTTTTTTCTTTTAATCTTCTTACTAAATTGCTTAAAAACGTTTTTGAGGATTTTTGCCGCGTCGACTGCTYTGTGTTTCTTCTTTGTGTTTTTCTTGTCATCTTTTTTGCTGTTTTTATCTTTCAAAGTYTTCTTTTTTGATTTTGYAACGTTTTTCTTTGTAGGTTCTTTCTTGTCGTCTTCTTTGCCTTTCATTGTTCTACGGACTGATTGTTGCTGTTGTTGTTGAGTGATAACATCACTTATAAAACCTGATAAACCATCTGAGGAGAAAAAACAATAATGAGAAATAATTGTCCTTTTTTCCTTTATTTTTTCTCTGTATTAATTAACATTTGATCTTTACTTTCATCTAGAACTCATCATTACCCCTAAATTCATCATCAATGATTTCTACGTACGTACATCTCTCCTTTAATTTTTTTAATCAARATAAAAGAGAAAATAACCAACCTTTCTTCGTTTTGTCTCCCTCGTATTCCTTCACAAATCTACCGTGCTCAAACACCTTCAGTGTTGGTAGAAAAGATATATCGTTTCTTSCACATATTGCCTTGGTTTTAGGGTTAGTTGAACTACAGTCAACCTTAAAAAGATAAAATATTGCTCACATCTAGTAGTGATGTCGGGCGAAATACCAATTTCTGACCAGTTCAAAGACTCTCACCTTGATAAGACGAATTTTGGGGTGTGCTTCTTGTTCGTCTTTGGCTAATTCTTCATACACGGGAGCCATCTTTTTACAATAAAAGCACCTGGAATACACATACAATTTCAATTCACTTGACAGCCAATCAGAGCGTTCGTACCATTGAAATCATCATTTCAAGATTTGCATTGTCTTCCAATGAGATAGTGCGTACTGTCTTAATTTGAAGCAAATCAGTCACAAATTCAATCGACCAATGAATGCGAGCGTTCTATCGTGACGATTGCACAAAGACACGTGACATTTCTCAGCAAATTAAATGAGAGAAAGCGTTTTATCTTAATTCTTTCACTAAGGTACTATGAATCCAGCTTATCAGCCAATCACTGCTTTCTGAGTGGTCCCAAAAAGCAGCATGTACTACCATTACGATGTTAAATTCATCTTTTTACACAACTGTTTATTCTTAGAAACACCGACGTAGCTCACACTATTTTTAAAACCACTAGTTTCCACCATTTTTATCATTAGATAAATTAGTGTCAGAAATAATATAATTTAGTGTTAGTACTCAATGTTGCATGCTTGCCGTATGCCAGATGGCATTGCACGTAAATGACTTACCATGGTGCATAAAAGTTAACAACAGCCAAAGACAAACCAGAAACTTCCTGGTCAAAATTGCTGTCATCAAGCTCCATAACTCCTCCAATTATATTKGTATCTCTGTTTATAAAGTTATACAAGGCATCTGTTGCACAAAAAGAACATAATTGCTCTAAGTGGTTGCCTATATCACTATGTAATTTTATATTTTTCCTGCCACCATCCTCAGCAGCAACCCAGGGGTCATTAAACGGGTGGGACAAGAAAGCCCCTGGGTTTCCGAGGATGATGCTCTGCTGTGAGACTTACTGACGTCGGGGACGTTTTCCATGTTAAGAGAGCTTTGTGGTCTTCCATCATGGAAAAGTACAACCCATGGATAGAACTTGAGACCGGAGTTTTTACATGTCATAAATGTAGCTGTGTTTCCTTGATTACAGTCAACCTACAGCGAAAAGAAACAAAARYTATGCTAAACMCAAAATGACGTCAACAAACGAATGATGAAATTTGGTAAYGCGTTTACAAGTATAAAAGTAAAAGATCGTCAGTCGATTGACRACCATTGTGTTCCACTAGTCCATCTTTGCTTTAGAAGAAAATATAGCCTTAATTCTTAACATGCGCATATTTAGCACTACCTCGAACTAGCACTCAGTACCACACCTTTGCGAATTTGATGGAAGGCGTTGTTTGWGAYAGYTTTGTTGCAGCCTCGTCGTATAATGGTTTGAGGTGCTTGCAATCTGTACACCTGAATTCCAAGGAAATTATTATTAAAACATAACATTATGTTTATTATCGATAGTTGTCTTGTGCAACGCAAGATGCTGGAGTATTGCACACTGCAGCAAGGACTGTACTGTTACACAAAGTAGTGTTCAGGTCCACTTTCAACCTCGTTCCCAGTGCCCTCTCTGTAGCTATTTTCAAAATGGTATAAGAATGACGTCTTTATCAGCCAATCACAAAKCGCCTTAGTTCAGTGTTTGCCATGGTCTTCGCTGTAGCATCCTCCATTTTGAAAATAGCTACAGAGAGGGCACTGGGAACGAGGTTGTTCTACTTTCTGAAGCGCATTGGAGATTCCTTTAAAGAAATTCCACAATGCACCACAATTCCACCTTCCAGCAACGTTACTTGCAATTTTCTGGTAAGCGTTCCGTAATCCCATGCGCAATTTWTCGACARCCATTAGTATAACATTGAGCAATTGTCCAGCAACTTGTTTGACTACAGCAATGKCACGTGATTAGTTCCAGTCTCCTATCAACTTACCATGGTGTATAATAGTCTACTATAACATACGGATAGCTCTTTACAAAAGTATCAAAGTTCAYATCAGTTAATACGCTAACRGGTGTGGGTGCCTCAGGGGTTGGTCCTGGGGCCAATGTAGGTGCGACTGCGGGTAAGGCTTGGTTAATATTTCCCTGATCGCATGTATTTTCAGGTTGGACTTTTGGCATTGAAAAATCCTCCTGTGGTGCCYGTCCCTTTGTTGCAATCGCATCGTTGACGAACTGCACAATGCCAGCTGGGTAATAAGAAAGAATCTAATTAGTAGGGAATAAAATGTCTGATAGTTCGTTCGAGGGGGTGTGGATAGAAAAATGGTGTTCTCCTCCTTAATTGTAATTAATTGTAAATAATTATATGTTAATAAATAATTGTATGAGGAAGTAGCTGATCCCATTAAAGAGTGCTCAATACACATAAAGTGTAGAGCTAGTTATATATATAATATCAAAGAGGCAAGATTTTGCTGTTACTCCGAGTTTCGTGCTACGCACTCATCAGACAGTATTATATGTTAATAAATAAAAAATTTAAAAAGAAAAAAAAATGGAGGCGAAGGAGGAGGGAAGAGTACAAAGAGTTTGTCATAAAGGAGACCAATTAAGAGTGGAAAAAATATCAAAAACAGACTATAAGAAAAGAGTGAAAACTCATTGGAAGTAGAAAGTTTGAAGAAGGCATAAAAAGAAGGAAGAAAATAGAGATAAGCTATCTAAAGGAAGAAGTATGTCTTAAGATAATGGGACTCGGTTACTCCGAGTTTCACGCGTTCATCGYGATYATCAGACGAAGAAAAAGTATGTCTTATTTCTTTACCTTCATCACGCGATCGGTTACCAAATTTCATAAATTGTTGTCCACTGTAAAACATTACTACCCAAGGGACATATTTAATATTGCTACATGCTAATTTAGACGCATCGTTAGTGCAGTCAACCTAGAAAACAAGACTGAACATCAGCACAGCGGCCGCGCAAAGCTCTATGGAGGTATGTCTGGCCGTAAATTATCCATATATAAGAAAAGGACTTTTCAGTTCCTGGTCAATGGTAAGATGTATAAGAAGAGTTCTTTTGCTTGTAGACAGCACTACCCTACCTTTCCTACTAGAAGTGCGTTTTGCATGGCCGGGATTTTAGMAAGCCTGTCCTCTGCCGCATCATATTGTGGAGCCATTGCTTGGCAATATGGACATCTAGTACGAAACAACAAAAAATCATCAGTAAATGACAACTGCCATAACATCAAACTTTGATAATTCAACAGTTTCGAAAATCTTCGTGTGCTTAAGGTGTCATGCAGGTGAGAATAGAATGGTCCTTGATATTTATAGATCCTCTCGACGCATAAAGCAGTGYATACGAAATATGTAAAAAAAAGTATGGCATACAGTTCTGAGGAACAATGTTTACACTAGAAAATAATATATATAACTTAAATTAATTAATGTAGTATTCGAGAATTGAGCCAAAATGCTTCCTAACTATCCTAAAAGCAACTTAAAAACAGAAATATTAATTTATAARWAAGCAGGTTGGAATTTTCAGACGCGTAGACGTTTAGCAAGTCGTTGACTTTGATTTAAATAAGTTTTTCGTCAAAACTAATTGATGATCACAAATCATGATATAATTAACCCATGATCACATATCGGTCACCTAAACAGCATTAACATTATGAACTCAATACATACTTTATACGTGTATATTAGAGCTAATTTAGCGTAAATTCTCACAAATATTTCCAACGTATGATTCCAAAGTAACGACAAATAAAAACATCTGTTTTTTGTGCAATTGCACGGTGCAAGACTGACAAAAAAAGACCTACTGGCTGAACACCTTTAATTTGCAATCATTTCCTTGTARTGAGTCATTTGTTACAGTACTTAACTCCAAAAGAACATAACTTTATGTCATGAAAAATGTCCTTACTGCATGGCCTKGGCCGATATAATAAGATTATATGCAGTCATGTACAATCAGACAATTCCATGAAAAAACATCTATGTTAAAAAAGTTAACGGTTTATGCACGCACGATTTTATTTTTTCCACTTGAGTCAATTTTGTGCACAAACAGAGCAGTAGTGGGAGTCTATATTGATCATAAAGTTGTTGAATTAGCACAACCCAGATGAAAAAATAAAAGAATTTGCTCATGGGAATAATAAGCGCGCAAAATCAGCGCAAAGTTGCCTTTTCGCACGCAAACGAATAAAATGTTACTGGGTCAAAGCCTAAGTCAATGGGCGTCCAATCTCATTATTATTCTTACTTAATTACTACACAACAAAACACGGAGTTTTTCAACGAGAGAAAAAAMCCCAACTTTTTCAAGAAAAGCCAAAAACATGTATAACATGCAAAAAATAAATGCATATGGTTTCTTGTATTAAACGTCAATTTGATCAGCACTTAAACACACTTACTTTGGACTGTAGAACTCTATCATAACATACGGTTTACTTGTCACTTTATCTTTGAAGTTGGAATCGATTAATTCTTCTACTTGAGCGGTTGACACAGCCAGGAAGAGAACAAGGCATCCTAGAGATAATATCGAGTCCATTTCGTCCGTATAACCGAACGAAATGACTATAAAGTCCTTAGTCGGTCCGTTTTAAAAAATGAAGTTGTGTTGGTGATTTGAGCTTGAGAAGTCGTGTTGTCTGATTACATGGGTGACTTGGTTGTTTGAGGACTGTAAGGTCGAATAAGACACCTGTTCACCTGTTGTTAGCAATAATATTGTGGAGATACCTGCTGTAATGACACTTTAGATCCATTGGCGTTGTTTACCTCATAAAAATATTTACTTTACCAAAGAACGAATCGTCCACTTTTGAGGAACCGAGGGTAGGAAYTTTCTTATCAATTGTYACTCTAAAGCGACTTTTTGCATGGATTCTCACAGCGAAGTAGTTTTGGAGCTATAAATATTTGATTTGGAAATCAATCAGCTGATGATCCAAAAATCTGCGAGATTGACAAGGGATTTGGTCAATTTCATTAAACTGTACCGGCTCGCCTCGTTTTGAGGTGTATAATGCAACGAGTCATTTGTAATATATGCGGTTATTCATCGCACTTCGCCTCGTGCGAATCGGGAAAATTATAACTTCTTTTGTGTCGTAATTATGCACTTCAGTTAGAAATTATATTATTGACATTTCCACTTTACTAGTTGTGTAGTTTATGTTGCGGGCTTCCTGTGTTGATTTAACACGGTATGACCACATGGCTAATTAAATCGAAAAAAAAACCTGCGAAAAAAGGGTTCTATCAAAGGTTTTTAAGAAAAGAAATAATATTTTTTGCCGCGAATTACCTTAACTTATCTGCACACGGAAGATTTTTTTTTTTAATTGAATTTTTTGTTGTACTTGAAGAATTGCATTGCATTTACAATGTACAACTAAAATTGTATCTTATTACTTGATTCTAGAATAAAAAAATGACTTTTGCTTTATAAATATAGTGTCGKTTTTTGTATTTTTTATTTAAAAATAAAAGAAAGAACACTTATGAATATGCATTGTCTTCCGTAAATAACTTCCGGTCAAACAGCGGATGTGACGTCATCTATTTATCTCTGTTGCTACGAGGCGGAATGTTGCTAGGTGACAGCGTCGTAGCAACATTTGTTGAAACATACATTCGAATCAATTAGCTCATTTAGTTGCACGAGACTCGAAGGAACGCAAGCATTTCGAGAACAAGCCAAAGAATTCCTACACACTCGCACGCGCTTTTTTGCAGAATCCAAGAAACTTTTTAATCAAATTGTAACTCAAGATGACGGAACAAGCTGAAGACACTAAAGGTCCACTGATCGCAGCTAGGGAAAGAGGTAAGTTTGTTGGAATTGTGTCACGAGGTTGGAAGCCTTTATCTTTACTCAAAACAAAATGTTATACAAAGAAACTGTAGCAATTTTGTCTTAAATATACATTCTCCTAAAACTAATAATTGTTGTATTGACATAGTCHCGTCAAATGCTTTTTGGCAATAATCCTTAATTCACACAAGAAGCAGGTGTAAATCTTAATAATGTCTTTTTCCTCAGGTCCTGGACCAGGACGCTAYGGYCTTCCYTCAACGTGTGGATACATTGAACATGACTTTACAAAGACTAAATCCCCAGCATATTCATTTGGAGGTCGCTTGGAAAATTCAAGTAAGACTTTTTACTTTTTGTAGATARCACAAGTGCGGTCCGCAGTTATCACGCACTGTTTAGATTGGTTGCCAAGGGAAAGAATTCTCATCAAAGAGATCGCATTGTTCTTTACTTTTTGTGTTTACATAACATTTTGATTGTTTTTTGTAGTGTTTAAGAAAGACTGCAGCCCAGGACCTGGATATTTTATTGATCCTACGATTACTAAAACTGGAAAGGATGGAACTCCTTCATACTCTGTTCTTGGAAGACAAAAGGACCCTAGTAAGTGTTAAATAAGATCTAATCCTAAGATAATCTCAAGAGTTCTCCCACTGCTTTAGTCTATTTTTAGTATTTTGATTAATACCAATTTTTATCTAATAAGT